TGAGAATGTGATGTACAAAGACATGTCAACTGTAGAATCAAGCAGTTCAAATACCAAAGATGAAACAAAGGAATTTGCTGAGTTCGAGGAGATTTCTGGAAATGATGTTTAGATCAGTCCTGAAGCAGTTCAAGAAGAACCAGGCACACCGGAACTAAGACGCTCCTCCAGAATTCCTAAACCAACCCAACGGTATTCTCCTTCTTTGCACTATTTGTTGCTGAATGACAATGGTGAACCAGAGTGCTATGATGAAGCAATGCAAGTGGAGGATTCAGTCAAGTGGGAGTCTTCCATGAAAGATGAGATGGACTCACTTATGTCAAATCAGACGTGAGAATTAGCTGAATTACCACCAGGCAAGAAAGCGCTCCACAACAAGTGGATTTACAGGATCAAGGAATAGCACGATGGGAGCAAATGCTACAAAGCGAGATTGGTTGTCAAAGGTTTTCAACAAAAAGAAGGTATTGACTACAATGAAATTTTCTCTCCAGTCGTGAAACTGTCTACAATCAGACTGGTATTGAAAATTGTAGCTGCAGAGAATTTACATCTTGAGCAGTTAGATGTAAAGACAGCTTTCCTTCATGGTGATTTGGAGGAAGAAATCTATATGAGGCAGCCAGAAGGCTTCATAGAGGCAGACAAGAAAAACCTGGTATGCAGGTTGAAGAAGAGCTTGTATGGTTTAAAACAAGCTCCTAGACAGTGATATAAGAAGTTCGATAGCTTCATGAGTAGCAGTGGGTTTACCAGATGTAAAGCAGACCATTGTTGCTACATCAAGAGGTTCGACAACAACTTCATTATTTTATTATTGTACGTTGATGGCATGCTCGTTGCAGGCTCAGACATGCAAGAGATTATACACTTGAAGCAAGAATTGTCGAAGCAGTTTGCTATGAAAGATCTGGGCGCTGCAAAGCAGATTCTTGGGATGAGGATCAAGAGAGATACAAAGTCGGGGACTTTGATGTTATCACAAGCTGAGTACATCAACAAAGTACTCTCCAGGTTCAACATGCAAGATGCTAAACCAGTAAGTACACCTTTAGGTGTTCATTTCAGACTCTCCAAAGAACAATCACCAAAGACGGAGGAAGAACGTGCACACATGGTGAAAGTGCCGTATGCCTCAGCAATTGGAAGTCTGATGTATGCCATGGTTTGTACTAGACCAGATATTGCTCATGCAGTGGGAGCTGTTAGCAGGTACATGAATAATCCGGGCAAAGTACACTGGGAAGTAGTCAAATGGATCCTCAGATATCTGCGGGGTACTACAAACAAAGCACTTTGTTTCAAAGGTGGAGATACGATACTGACAGGCTATGTAGATGCTGACTTAGCCAGAAATGTTGACATCAGAAGAAGCACTACATGGTATGTCTATACTCTAGGAGGAACCGCAGTGAGTTGGGTTTCTCAACTACAGAAGATAGTTGCTCTCTCCACAACTGAAGCAGAATATGTCGCTATTACGGAAGCTAGCAAGGAGATGGTTTGGCTTCAAAGTTTCTTGGAAGAGTTAGGCAAGAAACAAGAAAACAATGTCTTGTATTGCGACAGTTAAAGTGCTATTCATCTAGCGAAGAATCCGTCTTTTCATTCCAGAATGAAGCATATACAATTGAGATATCATTTTATCCGGTCTCTTTTGGAAGATGGAATTTTGAAACTTGAAAAAATTAGTGGAGCTCAAAATCCGGCAGACATGTTGACAAAGACGGTGACTACGGACAAACCGAAGTTGTGTTCAGCTTCAGTTGGCATGCTAGAATAACAAGACTAGAAATGCTGCTGCATTGATCAAGGTGTGAAGACAGATTAAAATCAGTCTTCAAGTGGGAGATTGTTGGAAGAAAAGTCAAAGGGGTGGGCACCGCCTGTGTGAAGAAAGAGGCTGCAAAGTCATAGAAAGGGGGCTGCAGAAAGTGCAAATTAAATGCACAGAAAATTTTCAATTTTTGGTGCAGTTATATTTGAAAGTGATAAGGGTATATCTCAAAATTAGTCATTGAACTTTAGGGTATTTTCAAAGATTAGTCCCTAAGCTTCAACTATAAATACCCTACCTCACTTAGCTTTAAAATCATCCCAAAATCTTCCAGTTCTCTCTCAAGTGTGTTTTGTAAACACCTGTAATTTTTTCTCTTTAGTAAAAGATCTGCAGCAGTCCGGAGACGTAAGCACAATTGGTTGAACTCCGTTATCAATTTTTCGGGTATTATTTTTCCGCTTTTATTTCGTATTCTCACTAATCTGGCTATAGGAAAATTACTTGTTACTCGTTTATTTCCCAACACTTGTGCTAGCATTTTCACTAGTAAATGGTTCCCAATATCTAAGCCCCAGTAGTAAGCCAGCAAGTAATGCGGATTCCGAATGTGGTGCCGTCGAGTTCACTAGAGAAGATGTGGATGCATTAGTGAGGGAGAAAATTAAATCCAAGAACAAATTTAACTATAAGGTGTGTTTTTTTCGTTGCATATGTCGTTTGGTTTGAATTAGTTTTCATTTTGTTCGCTTGTTTTGTTTTTCAGGAGAGATGTGAGAATATGATGGAGTAGATAAAGAGGCTTAAGCTTTGCATTAGATGGTTCCAAAGAACTTGAAGGATAATATGCATTTGAACAAGAGAAATTGAGGTGGCTTTGGAATTAACTGAAAGGAGATGCTATGAAATGGGTATTGAATCTTTTATTCACTTTGATTTATGTTAAATCCTATCAGCTATTTTCATTTGATGTAAACTAATATATTTTGTTGTATAGGTGGCTCTTTAAAACAAGGACGGAGAACTAAATTTGGTATTTTGGAGCTTAGAAAAAGTTTGGGTTCCTTGCAAGATAATCTCGTGAAAGAAGAGTTTGATAAAGTTCAAGCCGAGCTTGATGGTGCCAATCGAAGGGTAAATATGATGAAAATTTGATCTTATTCAAAGCCCTGTCTGCCTCAGGTTTTCCTATTGTTGTATTTGCATTTCAAGTTCACTTCCATTAACTAATTCTTACGTGATTCTTGAACGCTGCAGATAGTATCAATAAATGATATGTACAAACTACTACAAGATTGCAACTCAAGTATACAGTTATATAACAGTCTCCAGACAGATCTCACTGCAGCTAATGAAACCATTAAGCGCGGGGAGAAAGAGAGATTGGACATGGTGGAAAATCCTCATACCTTAAGGGGTCAACATAAATCATTGCAAGATCAACTCACTTCATCTATAGTGCGTTTCCATGCTTCAAAAACCCATTTCTTAATCTAGGCTTTCAATGGCATGCTAAGCACCACGCTTGATTGTTAGTTGTCACCTTGTCCGAGTTTATATTTATGTAAGGTTTGCTGTAGTGATTTTCCAGACACTTATATCAACTTAGTACAAATAGGACATCATATTGCAAACAAAATTTCTTTATTTTTCGATATTTATATATTACTTAATCTCTTAAAGAAGTTTTTCAAAATTTGGGTTAGGCTTCCCAAGAAGGGGCTGTGAAGCAAAAAGATGCTTTGATGAAAGAAGTTGCATGTCTTAGAATGGAGCTACACCAGATTAAAGATGATCAGGACCAATATCAACAACAAGCGCAAGTCTAGCTGTTGAAGTATCAAATTAGAAAGAGTTGGCAACCAACTCAAGTGAATTAGAGGTTTGTTTATGCTTCTGATTTCTTTTGCTTTCCCATTAGGTACAAATAATTGGATATATTTTGATATGTTTCGAATCTTTTACAGGAGAAATACTTGTCTCAAGGTAATCAAATACAAATTTTGCACTATCAATTAGCGGTTGCAGAGAGGAAATTACAGGTTACTTCATACAATTTTGAATAGTTGGCTAATGCTTTTTGTGCCACCCCACCCCACATGCCAGTTTGATTTCACATCAACGTTCAATTTTCGGAAAATGATGAATTTATTATAAATTGATAATATTAATGATTAAATTATTATTTTTGAAATGTCAATGAATGAAAGAAAAATGTACTCAAATATTATAGATTATTTATGTAGTTATCCTTTGGCCCATTTGGTTCAAAGAATGTTGTATTATCGGGAGAATGGAATCCTCATTTTCCCGTTTGGTTAGCCGGTAATCTTATTTCCGGTAATTTTTTATTACCAACATTGAATTTTTTGGGGTATATTACCGGAAATGTGATTACCCCTTCTCTTATGTATTGTTGGATTATCGATGTTTTGGACTAAAATGCTCTTAAATTTTTTTTCTTTTAAAAATATATTTATTCTGTCGTTGAATAATAAAAATTCTACGAATGTTAAATTAAAAATTTATTCTTAAACTATTTTAGATTTACAAAAAAAAATCTATAATTAAAATTTTTAAATGAAGTTTAGAGATTAAAATAAAATTTTACCCTTTCATTAAACCTATTTATTTTTTTAATTTTGTAAAAAAAATATATATATAAATTTTATGAATTTAAATTTTTAAAATAAAATATATAAATTAATTATAGTAATATTATAGTAGAATTCAATTTGTTAAAAAAATAAATATATAATAAAGACAATTTGGTCAAATATACATTACAATAATCTTTTATTCTTTTAACCAAATACGGTAATCTTACATTCCTGCTAAACCAACCAAACACAAAATACAACATTCTCAATAATCCTATCTATTGGTAATCTTTTATTCGTACGGGTAATCTTACATTCTATGAACTAAACACACCCTTTATGTTTTCCTTCTTAAGAGACAAATCAACCAATCAACTCCTGACACGTCACTAAAGTCAAATGCACTTTACCGTATCCCATCTGCCGCATGTGCCATCCATGACCATGACGTGTCATCTCTCATCTCCTTCCCGACTTCCCTCTCTGTTGTCTGTTCCAAGTTTCCCTCGCCTGAAAACTAATAGATATTTTAAAAATAAATAAAATTCTGACCATTAATTTTAAAGCCCCAAAAAATTCGGATTTTTCCCCCTCCAGAAATGAAAATCGAGTTTTTCCATTCTTTTTAATGAGTCTTGAACGAACTTTCTTAAATTTTCAGAAGAATACTCTAGACATTTTTATTTTGTTTGTTCGATCTGAAAATGGAATCGATTTTAGCTCGAGCATTGGAGTATACTTTGAAGTACTGGCTTAAATCATTCTCAAGGGATCAATTTAAACTGCAAGGCCGTACCGGACATCTCTATAATTTAGGTTACTCTTTTGATTTTTGGATCTAAAATCAGGCTTCGATTTTCATTCTTGAAAAAAATAATAATAAATTTTGGATTTGATAGATATAAATGGCGATGCTTTGCACGCGAGTATGGGGCTGCCGCTGGCTTTGACCGTGACGACAGCCAAAATTGGGAAATTGGAAATAATTGTGAGTTTTCCTTCACCCCTCCCCCTCTTTTTGAATTTTGAATTGGATAATTTAGGTTAATTTGTAGTTTTAAGTTGGCCCTAATAAAGAAATTTAGATGTTAAGTTCCCTAATTGATTGGATTTATTGAACATCATAATAAAACATTAGATTTCGTTTTCCTTTTTATCAAAAGATTTCAGTTTACATCAAGATACAATTGTCTATTATATATTATTATTGGGAAATTTAAAATGGAATTATGAGACTTTTAATAATTTATTTGCTCTTCCTATGAACTGTAGAGAATTAGTTCCAATTTTTCTTTTTTAGTATTTTTTTTCTTTTAAAGAAAAGTTATGATGGATTTTGAGTTATCTGGTACTTAGTTTGGTATCTGTTGGTTTATATATAATATCTCTATTAATGGAAAAATCATCTTCATTTACTCAATTCAAACTATTTGTGGAATGGTATTTTGGAACTGAATGGTTTGATGTAAAGTAGACATTTCTCACTGATAAGCTTGGAATGGGATTTCCATTTTTAAAGAAAAAGAAAAGGTGAATGTGCACAGTAGAGCAAGGCAGTTGTGGTAAATATACAATTTTATAATATTAAATTAGAAGATTATTAATACAAGAAGTGAGGTGGTGTGGCTTGGACTAATGAGGAGTGGTTATAGAAAAACTCACACCCATTTAAATATGGGTGGAGGTGGATGAGGCAATCAGTGTTAGACTTGATATGATAATGTTCTCTAAAATATAATTTTTTATTTTTATTTTTTTGTGCTAGCTGCCCAAAGTCAGTAATGTACAGGTCGATCCAATTGTTTTACAAATTGATAGACTTGATCTGGTTCTGGAAGAAAATCCTGATGTTGATACTCCAAGTACCTCAAACAAGTAATGTAGATTCACCCTCCATGCTAAGTTTCACAACTAAAATCATATTTGTAAATTTGTACTTTGGAATGTTGTACTGTTCTTATTAGCATCTTAAACCTGCTTCTGTAGTTACAACACGCAATCAACCACCAGCTCAGGGAAAGGTAGCGGTTATGCTTTTGCTGACAAGGTTAGATGCTATCTCTGTTAAGGTTTTAGAAACTCTATACCTTGGAATATTAAACCATTCACGGATTTAAACGCCACAAGGTTAGCACATTTAGAGGGCCTGCTTCGTCTCCTAGTCACTATTGCCTTATATTAATTTGTCTTCAGCTTATGCACTAACAACATGGACAAAGGTTTAGATGCAAAATATATGCTTCATGTTTTCTCCTTTTGTTATTTTCAGATTGCAGATGGAATGACTCTACAGTTCCAGACAGTCAATCTTCTACTTGAAACTCGTGGAGCTTCAAGTTTTGAAGGAGAAGCAGTTTGGTGAATTCTTTTGTCTTCAGCTATTATTCTACTTCTTAATAAAAACTTTCAATTTACTTTGTTTGATCAGTTGAGATATGCTTACTGTCTATTTTATTATACTTTGTACTTGTGTAATCACTTGCATTGATGGCTATATTAGAATTTAATTTAACCTACAAAGAATTTGTAGAACTATGCTCATTAAAAAGAGGAATTTTCCATATAATGAAATTGCCCATTTTTCTTCAAAGTTTACTCGTATATATGTTTTTGAATTTCTTACAACTGTTATGATCATTTTACAAAAAAAAAAAGGAATAATAAGAAGAAAAATCCGAGTTATTGTTCAAAAATGTATTGTTGATATTAGAAATTTCAAATCAAAGATGCATGTACTTGGTGCTCTCTCTAGATTTTTTTTAAAAAAAAAGCTGTCTGTAACAGTTGGTTGATGTCCAAATATCACATCCCCACAAAGTTTGAGTGCATTTTTCATCATCATTAACTTACAAGTCAGATAACCATTGGTATGAGGAAAACTTATGAATATTGTACATTTTTTGCATGGGAAAATTGTTTGTTCTATATCTATTCTGGGAGAAACCAGATAGTTTTCTACATTTTGTTGCTTATCATTAGGATTTCATTATTTTATTCTTTATACATTGCTTGTGCTCTGCAAAAGGTTAATTTGTTCAAACTATTTTGACGGTCAATGAAACTTGCATGGATCTTGTACCTCATTGCTTTACATATGTTTTTCATTTTTCAGGGCGCCACCTATGGCATCTATCACCATGTGCAACCTTTCATTTTATACTACTAATGAAAATTGGAAGGTAATTAATTAGTCATGTATTGTTGAGTCATATCTTTTTAATTGTTCCTATTTACAAATTTGTTTTATTTTTCCAGGTTGTAAATCTTAAGGAAGCACGGGATTTCTCCTCAAACAAAAATCTCATATATGTTTTCAGGGTAACATATTATAGACTCGCTATTCCTCTGTTCCTCCGTATATAAGTGCACATAAGGGCATGCACATTCATCATGTGTAATGCTTTATGTTAAATGTTTTATCCTTTTGTTTTTTTGGCCTCTGTTATTTGGAGTTTATAGGCTGTACAGTTCATCTTAGTGTCTTATCATGCTACATTCTTTTCTTTCCAGAAACTTGAATGGGAATCTTTATCTATTGATCTCCTGCCTCATCCTGAAATGTTCAGTGATGATCATTTAGCACGGTCTGAAGTTGGGGGAGCTCAAAGAGATGATGGTGCAAAGCGTGTTTTCTTTGGCGGAGAACGTTTTCTTGAGGGCATATCAGGAGAGGCTTATGTAATCAAACCATACATTTTCAATATTTTAATAACTTTTATTTTATTTTATACTGTTGTGTGGTGGTAGATAGCTTTTTCAGGTTTTCAGGGTTCTTGTAATAACATTTTAATCCTTAATACCTTTTTCTTGTAGATCACCGTGCAGAGGACAGAACTCAACAGTCCACTTGGCCTTGAGGTTCAGTTACATGTTACAGAGGTTGTTTGCCCTGCATTAAGTGAACCAGGTGATAAGATAACCAGTTTTCTAACTGCTTTTTTCTCTGTTTGAATTAAATGTATGGTACTACACAGCTAGTAATTGGCGGACAACCATGCGTGCAGGTCTCCGAGCATTTCTTCGCTTCTTGACTGGATTATATGTATGTCTAAATAGAGGAGATGTGGATCTTAAGGCTCAGCAGGTTTGAAGTTTATCTACTATCATTCACTTCATATTTATTATTAACTTGTTATGGGCAAATTTTATCGAGTCTTCTTTCTGTTACCTGACAGCATTCCGTTGAATCAGCTGGACACTCACTAGTTTCTCTTGTTGTGGAGCATGTATTTCTTTGCATCAAGGACCCTGGTTTGTTTTATTTTTGGTTGTTTTTTTACGCACATGGACACAGCCAAGTTTGAAGGTGAAATCAAGTAGAGTAAATGAGTGGTAATGTGAGGAATCAGATTGTAGAATAAACCACTATCTACTTTTTGGGAGTGGGGAGGAGAGTAAACCTAAGTGTATTCCCTATTCCTATTGCAGTTATTTTCGTTAATGAATTGCAAACAGGATAGAGCAAATTGTTTACTCTCTTCCTCTCTACCCTCTTCCCCCATCAAGCACACTTCTCATCATTTCTTTAGAACATTTTCCATGGGTTTGAACTTACCTGCAGAATATCAGCTTGACCTTTTGATGCAGTCACTTCACTTTTCTCGGGTAATTTTCTATGTTTGTTGACCTTCTAACTTAATATCCCCTTATTTTTCCAATTAGATTCTGTTTTTATAGATATATCTTATTTTGTTTCTGTGGGAAGATTCTTGTATGATTATAACTTGTCAGATATATAGGGCATGTAGAAAATATAAAATTACATAACTGTATATTACAAGGCCAAAATTAGAAGACAACCATGTTTCATGTGAAAAATTAAAATTATGCAATATTTTTTGTTTTGAGATAATGTTTTTATGGTGTTCGATCGCTTATTGGTTTATTCGATTAAAAAAATCCAAGATCCTTGACGCAATCTCGTGTACATATGTATTAGTAACTTCTAATTGCTTGTCAGTACATCAAGCAATAAGCCTAATCTATCTACTAGGCATTATTTCTTTATTTTTATATGAAAATGGTACGCATGCCATGATATTTGTTTCCAAGGACTTCCTAGACTGCTAGTATGGAGTCATGTTATGCTGGGATGTAACAAATCTTACGTTAGGATGTTATGTTCCTGCAGGCCAGTGTCTCTGATGGAGAAAGTTCTCGTAATTTTTCTAAGGTTATGATTGGTGGGCTGTTTTTAAGGTATATTTGTTATTTCACATTTCTAGTGATTTGGATTTGGTTGTTTCAAACTGGCTATCGTGAATTCTAATTATTTTTTCTATATTTGAAGGTTTAGTGAGTAACTGAGGGAGTAAATAAAAAGGAAGAAATTGAGACAAGAAAAAGAAATTTTCTAATAATTCTTTTATTGAAAAAACAGAAAACACAACCTGTTTTTATAGATTATGGGATTACTAGTTGGAGTTCTACTAGGTTTCTTTTCTTCCTAATTTTTATCTCCTAAATTTTATCTTATTTCCTAAGAAACTTAATCCTGATCGTACAATATAAATAAATTAAAATTTATCTCCTAAAATAAATTAAACTTATAAGTTAAATAAAATTCCTAATTGTCGGCAACATTCTACATTCCTCTCAAGTTGGGTGTATATGTTATACAAACCCAACTTGGACTTGAATCCATCAAAGTTAGCTCTTGGAAGGGCTTAATGTCCACAAGCTGCATTGAGTAGGTATGTAGGTCGGTTCAAAAATTCTATTGTTCACTTTTTCTGAAATAAAGTGTCTGTCAATCTCCACATGTTTTGTTCTGTCATGATGAACATTATTTTTGAAAATGCTTATGACTGAATGATTGTCACTTTTCATCTTGAAATAATTATTAGAAGCAACCTTTAATTGTTTTATCAGTCTCTGAATCCATATTCCTTCACAATTTTTTGAGGCAAGACTTCGAAATCCAGCATTTGCACTACTTGAAACCACAGACTGTTTTTTTAGCTTCTCATGTAACAAGATTACTCCAAACAACGGAGAAATATCCTCTTATAGATATTCTTTCAGTTAATTCTCCAACCCAACTTGCATCAGTATATACTTTTACCTCACGATTTTCACTCCTTTAGGTATCTTAGCATTCAATTTACAACCTCTAGATACTCTCTCTTGGATCATTCATATGCTGACTGACAATACTCACTGAAAATGCAATGTTTGGTCTTGTGTGTGAAATATAGATTAGCTTGTCTACTAATCTTTGATACCACTCTTTGTCAACTGGCACCCTCTCATTCTTCATTAATTAGGTTAGGATCTATAGGAGTTTCTGTTGGTTTGCACCCAAGCATTCCAGTTAAGATTAACAAACCTGGGATATACTTTCTTTAAGAGATCACAATTCTTGCTTTAGATCGAACAACCTCTATCCCTAGGAAATATTTGAGAGCACCGAAGTCTTTGATTTTAAAGTCAGCAACAAGTCGGCCTTTTAGCTTGATGATTTCTTCTGTGTTATCTCATGTTATGATAATATCTTCAAAGTAGACAATAAGAATGGTCTTCTTATCTTTTGATGAGGTTTTCACAAATAAGGTGTGATCTACTTGACACCAACAATGAGATTGCACGTTTTATTTAGCTATCAATCCGCCTCTTATATAGTGAGGTTACACAGTTTAAATGAAAGACATACTAACCAAATATCAATATTTTCCTAATAATGATAAAATTGATATCCCCTGAAATAATAATTTTCCTTTTCCTAGAAAGAGTATTATTTCCCTAATAATTAACCTAATAAGTAATAGTGAAACTTTTTTTTTTTGTAGAAATATTGTTATGTTTTCTTTCTTAAAAGTTTCCAATAAGCTCAGTTCAAAACTTTGAATTTGGGAAATGATATTCTCTGATAAATGATATTGACATGAGCGTGTATGTGAATCATTTGGTGTCATCTTGCATTTCTTGCTGGGTAGTCTTCATTTTGGAAGTATTACTGTTGAACTTAACATGTCAACTGGTATGATGCAGGGATACCTTTTCTCGTCCTCCCTGTACTTTAGTGCAGCCATCTATGAAGATTCTTGTTGATTCTCAACTTCATATTCCCGAATTTGGTATCGGTTAATTACTATTTGTATTACACAGAAAATTTCATTACACGTATGTGTAAAAAGAGATGAGAAAAGAACATTATTTTCTTGAACAACTTGTGTATGACAATGGTATACATTACCAGGATTTATGTTTCTATTTTCTGTATTGATTTATCAGGTGAGAATTTTTGCCCTCCGATATATCCTTTGGATAAACAACAATGGCAATTACCTGTGGGTGTTCCTTTAATATGCCTCCACTCTCTTCAAATCAAACCTTCTCCACTCCCTCCATCTTTTGCTTCCCAAACTGTAATTGATTGTCAGCCTCTTATGGTATAAATTCATAATTCTTATCAACAATAACTACTCATATTATATCAACTTTTCTTTTTCATTCTCATTTTTCTGTTAATTCAGATACATCTTCAGGAAGAATCTTGTTTGAGGATATATTCCTTCTTAGCTGATGGAGTAGTTGTCAATCCTGGTTCTATTGTACCAGATTCTTCTGTGAATTCCTTTGTGTTCACACTCAAGGAGTTGGATATTAGTGTTCCTCTGGACACTAGCAAATTTGATAATCCTGGAGGCGACAAGAACCTTGTCATGCAAAACACATTTTCTGGAGCTAGGCTTCACTTTGAAAAGTTGTTTTTTTGCGAGTCGCCCTCACTAAACCACAAGCTACTGGATCTGGAGAAGGATCCTTCTTTTCTCTCTCTCTGGGATGGGCAACCTGTTGATGCTAGCCTGAAGAAATGGACGGCCGAAGTATCCCAACTCAGTTTATTGTTGGAAACAACAGCTTGCATAACTGGTTCTCATGGCCGGTCTTCGGACTCGTGGAGGTGTGTTGAGCTGACAGATACTTGTATTGAGTTAGCTATGGCATCTTCTGACGGGAACCCATTAACAGTTGTGCCTCCTCCAGGTGGTCTTGTAAGAATAGGTGTTGCTTGCCAACAATTTATGTCCAATACATCAGTTGAGCAGTTCTTTTTTGTATTGGACCTTTATGGCTATTTTGGTAAAGTCAGTGAAAAGATTTCAGTGGATGGAAAGAATAAAACATCAAAGAGAAACAAAGATGATAGTGCGGGTGCAAGACTGATAGAGAAAGTTCCTAGTGATACTGCTGTAAGTTTGGCATTAAATATCCTTCAGCTTAGGTTTCTTGAATCATCCTCCTTGGATATCCAGGGCATGCCATTAGCTCAGTTTATGGGGAAGAATCTGTTCCTGAAAGTCACTCACAGAACTCTTGGTGGTGCTATAGCTGTTTCATCAACTTTGCGTTGGGAGAGTGTTCAGGTCGAATGTGTACACACAGAGGGAAATATTGTACACAGTAATAAGCCGCTGTTAGGTTCAGCTCAAAACGGTTCGTTGGTAACTGGGAATGGATTTTCTCCGTTGAGAACTGTTTTTTGGGTACACAACAAGCAGAAGCAGCTATCTAATCGAAAAGCTCCATTAATTCCATTTCTTGAGATAAGCACTGTGCATGTCATTCCTTTTAATGAGCTGGACAAAGAGTGCCATACTTTACGTCTGTCAGTTTGTATATCAGGTGTGCGGTTAGGCGGAGGAATGAATTATACTGAGGCTCTGCTACATCGATTTGGAATTTTTGGGCCCGATGGTGGTCCCAGCATGAGGCTTTCTAAGGGCATAGAGAACTTGTCCTCTGGGCCACTATCAAAACTTTTAAATTCTTCAGTTTTCATTGATAATGATCTTGTGGATGGTACGGGACATTAGTTGCCCTTTCATAAGTGGAAGTATAGTTCTCCTTTGGCATTTTACTCCCATAATTTAACTGTATATGTCCAAAAAATTTTCCAGGTGAAACCTTGGGAGGTGTGAAAAAAGATGATTTTTTGCAGCTACAAATCCCAGCTAATGTGGATGTATCCGTCGAGTTACAAGACTGGTTATTTGCACTTGAGTGTGGGCAAGAGATGGCTGAAATGTGGCGGTTCGAGAAAGAAGACTTAGGCAGAGAGTTTAGGTGTTGGCACATGACTTTCCAAAGTTTGATAGTAAAAGCAAAAAGTAGGCCGAAGGATGTGAAGAACGTAAAAGTATTTTCACATGGAACGCAAAGATATCCTATGGAGTTGGTCACGGTAAGAATCTTGTTTACAGTTTACTTTTGTTTCTCCTAGCCTTCTAATGGTATTTTATTAGTTTAAAGTTATTGAAACCAACAATATTATATGTGAACAACAGTGAAACATTTCTATATTTCTCTGCATTTTTCTTAGTCTTCGAATCATGTATACTGACTGTGTGTCTGGGCGAGTTTTCGTTCTATGGTTGGGAGGCTATGGGAGAGTTTGGCCCTTGAACTTGTCTTGGGATGGAAACAGGGCTGGGCAGTCTTTTACTTGCTCCGACATTGACCCGATTTTTACTTCCTAATTTTATAACACTTTAGCACCTAACTCCCACTCTAACCTAAAAATGCTTTTCCTGATCTAGCCCCAACCCACCCTGAAATTTTACATAATATTATATATTTTATCTTAGAAAAATCTTGTATGTTATAAAATCTTATAAAATTAAGGAATTGTCTACAAGGATGTAGAGATTAGGAGTTTAATTTTTTTTTTTTGTATTTTATGACTAGTTTTTATCTACTTAAGAGAGAAGATAAAGTTTAAGAAATAGAAGTTTGGGAAAAAGAGAAACTAGTAGGACTCCAACTTGTAACTCACAACATATCAAGACAGATTGTGTTTTGTTTTAGTATGATATAGATCAAGAGAATATTCTCTCTCTTTTCTTGAAATCTCACATGGTATCAGGCTAGGTTATCAATCCTAGTAAAACTTGGAACACCTACCTACGTCATTATCGGAAGTCAGTTCAGGCTCCGACACCCATCCCTCCAACAATGTTATCGATACCTCACTCATTCCTGTCACAAACCTCAAACTCAATGGCCAGAATTATCTTCAGTGGTCACAGTCAGTTCTCATGTAAATCTCAAGGGAAGGCAAGGATGATTATCTCACCGAGAGGGTTTCTATTCCAAAAACAGATGATCCTAAGTATCTAGTGTGAAGAATTGAGAACCATGTGATCACGTCATGGCTCATAAATTCCATGACCATGGAAATTGGAGTGAATTTCCTCCCCTGCAAAACAACAGAGGAGATTTGAGAGGCAGCAAAGAAGACGTATTCCAACTTAGACATTTATGAACTCTTTGACATAGAGACCAAAGAAAATATATAGTGTATGATATTATGTTACCTATTATAGGAGCTTTATACTTGTATATATACACATTTTTTATTAATAGAACAATACTCTCAATCATTTGAAAATATACGCTCAATCACTCTTATAATCGCTGGTGCTCGAACCCATGACTTTTAAGAACAACAATGATTCCTTTTAATCACTGAGATAAATTGGTTCGTGTTGTATATACACAATGTTTATAACAAAATACACAATGAATATTTGTCTCTCTTTTACCGTCTCTACATGGTATCAAATGTCAAAATCAATTTTAAGGATTTTAAGTTTACGTTTTTTTTGGGGTTGTTTAGGTGTAGGAAAGTGGTTAATGTCATTCTTTAAAGGGTAGGTTTTAAAGGCCCTTATTTTGACATACCCAACACAATGAGGTCTGTCGTGCGCTGATCCGTTAGTCACCAGCACCAGATCTTTAGATTTCACGTGTGTGGGTCCTACGTGCCGTAAAAAAATTTCATCAATTCTCCATGCGCCAACATGTGAGATCGTGTGGGAGGGGTTTTTGACATCGTCTTCTGCCTCTGACGTTGGATTCTTATTCTGAACATATCCCTCTGGTCGATTCTTGCTTTCGGTTCATTTTTGGTGTGGGCTTTTCCTTTTAGTACCTTCTGGTTGCAGAATTTATGGAGTCGATGCTTTGCATTTTTCACCTCTATTGGGTCGACATCGATTTTGTTTTAGGACTTGGCTACAATGGGTTTGACCTTTCTCTGGATAATCTGTTTTCGTATGTTTTTTGCATGTATGAGACCTCTGGAAAGTTTGTTACGATCGAATTGATTCAACTTCTAGACACTAAGTGTTAAAAAAATTGCATACCATTATTTTTAAGAAAAAAATATTAAAATTTTTTAGATCCATTCTTAAATTTCCAGATGATTCTCTTTCTACTTTTGTCAAATCAAGTAAACATCATACATGTCTTATTTTTGCCTCTTCAAAATAGGTTATTGATTTTGGTCTTATAGATCATATGATAGATAATTCCAATTTACTCTCTCATTTTCAACCACATAAGCTCATCACACCTGTCACTTTAGCCAATGGCTCAATATTCAATATAATTGGGTCTGATATCATGAATCTTACCTTATTCCTTCATTTTACATGTGTTCACTTCTGAGTCTCGACTATCGCACAATATCTATTAATTTGATATTTGTTAGCAAACTTACGAGTGACTTCAATTGTTGAGTCTATTTTTTTCTTGGTTATTGTTCGGTTCAGGATTTTATGATGAAGAAGATTATTGGTATGGGAGAGTTGTTGCGGAAGACGATTATCGGATAGAGCAAAATCGCAACTGATAATTTGAGAAAATAAAAAATAAAAGATAAAAGAGACACAAAATTTACGAGGAAAACCCCTAAATAATATAGGGTAAAAACCACGGACAACGGTAGAAGAATTTCACTATGAGAAAAATAGGAATTACAACCTCTCTCGATCTACCAAGAAGAAAACAATGATAATTCTCTCTTGATAAAAAAGAAAAAAACAACTCTCAAGAAACTCTCTAAATTCTTTCTAGTTTTGGAAGAAAGCTAGAATGCTTTGGGATGGTTTTGAAGCTAAATGAGTTAGTGTATTTATAGTTGAAAATTAAGGACTAATTTGTAAATACCCTAAATTACAATGACTATATATGATTTTACCATAAAATAAAATAATATATTTTCTACACCTTTCGGTGTCCCAATTTGACAAAGCAATTGAATGATTTTCGGTGCCATGTGCACCGTTTTTCAACAATCTCCCACTTGAAGATTTGAAGATTTGATTGGAACAATCATATCCTCACACCATTCTTTCTACCTTATACCTTCATGTTGCTTATATTTCCGTCTGGCCACAAGAGGATCGACACCAAGTAAATTTATGGGCATTGATCGCCTTCGTCATGAAATCTGCTATGTTGTCTTTGGTATGGATCTTTTGCATATCTACCGTCCATTCTTCCACCTTTTCACGAATGAAATGGTACTGAACTCTTATGTGTTTTGTCCTTGAATGAAATGCTGGATTCCTTGCTAAATGCAAGGCGCTTTGACTGTCACAAAACAGAAAGACATACTCTTGATTGTGCCCAAGCTCCTCCAATAACATCTTCAACCAAATTGCTTCATTACTGGCTTGTGTAGCTGCTACATATTCTGCCTCTGTTGTGGATGTAGCCACAATTGACTGCAATTTTGAAACCCAGCTTACAGCTCCACCAGCAACTTTGAACACATATCTGTAGTAGATTGCTTTTATCCAAATCCTCTGCATAGTCAGAATCTACATACCCATTGATTAGTAAGCTTGATCATCCGTAACATAATACAATATTTGAGGTCCCTTTGATATATCTCAGGATCCTCTTCACTGTATTCCAATGCTCTTTTCCTGGATTCTCCATGTACCGACTAACCACTCCACTGCTTGTGCAATATCTGGTCTTGTGCATGTCATAACGAACATTAAACTTCTCACTGCTGATGCATACGGTACTCGAGACATCTCATCCTCTCTTCTTCACTGCTAGGACTCATACTGGAGGATAATTTGAAGTTAATAGAAGAGGGGTAGAAATTGGCTTACAATCTTGCATGTTGAATCTTGACAAGATCTTCTTCAAGTAATTCTTTTGTGAAAGCCAAATCTTTCTATTACTTCTGTCTTGGTGAATTTGCATCCCTAGAATCTTGTTTACTGATCCCAAGTCCTTCATTTCAAATTCCCTAGCCAGTTGTGCCTTCAATTCTTCAATATGATCTTTGTTGGGTCCTGCAACCAATATGTCATCCACATACAACAACAATATAACAAAATCGTTATCACCAGACCTCTTGAAATAAGCACAAGGGTCTGCATTAAGTCTGTTGTATCCAAGGCACATAATGAAGGAATCAAATCTCCTATACCAACACCTCGGCGCCTGCTTTAGACCGTACAAAGATTTGTTCAACCTGCAAACCAAGTTCTTCTTTTCTTTTTCTTCAAAACCTTCAGGCTGGAGCATGCAAATCTCTTCTTCAAGATTTCCATGAAGAAAAGTTGTTTTAACATCTAGTTGCTCTAGATGTAAGTTCAATGTAGCACACATTGTCAAAACTACTCGAACTGTTGTTAGTCGAACCACAGGAGAAAATATTTCATTGAAATCAATACATTCTTTTTGAGCATATCCTTTGACCACCAGTCTTGCACGATACCTCTCAACATGATCGTCACTATTTCGCTTGATTTTGAAGACCCATTTGTTACCAATTGGCTTCCTTCCTTGTGGTAGTGGCACAATGTCTCATGTATTATTTTTATGAAGGGTTTCAATTTCTTCTTGCATCATCATCATCCACAGTGAAGCATCTGAGCTGTTTATTGCCTCATGGTATGTTGATGGCTCACCGTCCTCTGTTAAAAGGCAGTATGCAATATTACTTTCTATAACATAATCTGAGTGCCAATTGGGACGTCTTCTCACATGATCTGATTGACGAGTTGTTGGAGCTTCAGAACTCTCTGGTGCTTGTTCATCATGTGTTGGTTCTGCTTCAGAAGAATCTTCTTGTTCAACATCCTTTTCCACATGTATCTGTGTAGTCTCTGACTTTTCAATGCTATCATCGTCTTTTTTTCTTTGTAGTTTATCTTCTACAAAGATAACATCCCTGCTAATGATCACTTTGCGGGCAGTGGGATCCCACAAGAATTTTCCTGGATTTTGGATCCAACTTTGAGATTTCTTGGGAGTTGTACATCACGTACACAATACTTCCAAATACATGGAGGTTTGAATAATCAGCTGGTTTACCAGTCCACATCTCCATTGGTGTCTTAAGCTCTATTGTAGTTGATGGAGCTCGATTCACCA